AAAACCTTATATTGTTGAAGTAGAAAATAATTGAGTACTACACACTCAATCTATATTATTTTATCCTTAACTGATGTTTAAGTGACACAGTTACAAGTGGTATCGGTAACGTGCTTGCCTGGTGTGGTTGTGGGTTGGGTTCGATTCTCCGCATCACATTCAAATAAAGATATTGTGTCCACCCAAAAAACTAACAAATAAATAAAAAAAAAAAAAAAAAACTTGTGATCTTCCTGCCTCAGTCTTCTAAATAGCTGGGATTACAGGTGTGTGCCACCATGACTGGCTCCTTTGGCTTTCATGTACTTTATTTCACAAGACCCTCCAGATGACTCTGCAAGATAAGCAGGACAGGCATCCACTCAATTTTACAGATGAAGAAGTGGTGACTCTGAGGCTAAATGACTCACCTGTCCAATGTCACAGGTCAGGCAGTTATAATTAGCAGTCCAACAGAAGTGAACCCAACCCTCACACTCACCAGCCAAAGCAGATTCTAGGACACCACCCTGCTTCCTTATGTTTATAGATGAGAGGCCATAGAGTGAGGGTTAAGAGCCTAGGTTCTGGTACCACCAGCTCTGCACTGCAGTCCTAGCTCTGCTATGAGCTGTCTGACCCTGTGCAGATTCCTTAACCTCCCCTCACCTGTTTCCTCACCTGTAAATGGGGAAGGAGGGAATAGCCTTACCTCACAGTTATAGTGATGGCTAAATGAGATGATGGACATGACCACTCAAATTCATTCAATCAGTGAATACTTGTGCCAGGCAAAAGCTAAGTTACAGCAATGATCAAGAGACACAGTTCTGCTCTCATGAAGCTTAGAGTTTAAATACTACTAAAGTGTGTTAAGAATTAAGGTAACAGTGAGTGACTAGAACACACACATGAAGGGCCAGTTTTTAACAGTGGTCCAAGGTGAAATTTCGGTTGAGCTCTGAAGGGTCCAAAAGTGGTCACCCATGTGAAAAGTAGAAGGAAAAGCATTCCCAGCTTAGGCAACATGTGTGAGGGTCACAGCATGGGGAGGCCAAGGTATCCAGAAGACAAACGTGACTGCAGTATACCCTCTCATGGGATTTTGGGAACAACCTTTATAGGCTGCCACCAATGAGGATTGCCACATCTATTTTTAAATAACAAAGATGAGGCTAGAAAAAGGTGATATGTCTTGTCCAAGGTCACAGCAACTCAAAGGAGCTGGGACTAGAAGCTCTTAGCATTCTACTTCCCAAATCAACAATGTCCATGGTTTTTACTTGTTTCACTAATCATTGCTTCCTGTGCCATGAAGAGTCCCAAAGCACCTTGAAAACACAAGCAGCAGTAGTACAGAAGCAGCTTCCAGGCCTCTACTTGACTGTGCGTGGAATCCCTGACTCTGAGCCTTACCATGCAAGACAGGAAGCTTCTCAGACTGACTCAAAGGCTCCAAAGTAGAAATGAGATTCTCTTCTTGCAGCAATGGACAAGAGAGAGAAGGGATGTCCCAGAAAATCCTGTGGTCTGTTCACAATAGGAGACAGAATCATCAACGCACATGAGGGCTCATCTCATACCGAAAGGGTATTTTAGAACTTGTAGAGGCATTTTGGGGTGAAATGCAGGGCGATACTGGCTTAAGCAGGTGAGGCCAGGTATGCTCAATGTCTTGCAAAAGAACAGTATGGTCCTATATAGTAAAGAATGTACTGTCCAGAATATTAACAGCAGCCTCCCTTGCACACTTTAGAGACAGCCTCTCTTAAAAGATCAATATGCTCCAACTTTTCCTGTACCCCCACAGTTCACTGGCTCTCCCTATCCTCATCACAACTGAATTAAAACAAAATTAAGATAAGGAGTGTGAAGTTTTGGAAGTCCAGTTGTAAGCTTATAACTCTAGCATGGAAGCTGGTAGTGAAATAAGGATAAAAAAATTTCTAGTAAGAGACAGACTTAAGAAATGTTACCAAAAAGAGAACTTTCTTCCTCATTCAAATAAGCTTTTGTAATACATTTGTTTTACTACACATGAAATTCTGTGGTTTTAGGACTTATTTACAGTGCTTTTCACTTGAAAACCAGAAATAAGTGACAATTCTTTTAAAAAAATTTAATTACAATCATTTCACAAATACAGTTGACTCTTTCAGGACTAAACTGCATAAGCAAGATTATTAATTTCAAGATGCCTAAAGCTGATCAAGTGACTGAAAGTGCCAAAGGCAGACCTGCCTTGCATCTCATTCCTGATAGTTTCTGCAGGTCAGAGAAGCGCCAATGATATTGAGATCTGTTCTGGGATTAAAACACCATTTTTAACAGCAACTCAAAAGCTATTTCCAAGTGTTACCTAAATTACCCACTAGGTCTCTCCAAAATTATTTCACAAATTAAAGCTCATGTACTTGACAAAGAAAGAAACATAGATCACTAACTTTGCAGGAAAGAGAAAGAGATCCAAAGAGTCTACCCTAATTCCAAATAGCTACAACAGTGATCCAATAGATTAAATTCTCTATGAAGTAAGTACTCTAAGGACAGGAATCTTCCTCCTCCAAAATACCTCAATTTTCTCAACTAACCCAAAGGAGTCAGAATGTGTAACTTCTTCACTCACCTTGCCAATTAGCTCAGCAGCCCCACACCCCTCTTGACCAATTTTCTAGAAGCCTGACCTGGCTTTTTCAAGTAGCCAAGCAGACAGACCTGTTTTCCTCCAGAAGCACCTACCAGGCCTTGTCTGCCCTGCGGGCCAGAACCCGGGAAATCCCCCTCCAGCCTTTCAGTGGCCTGCCACCAGAAGTTCACAAATGAATTCATCCAGATTCTTTGAACCTTCCTCTTCCCAGGTCATGTGCTAACACCAGGGCAATAATACCCCACCTTGCCTGGCTCTGGGTCAAAAAAGATGCAGATTCACTGGAAGATTGAGCACTTCATCCGGAGCAGAAGAAAAAGAAAAAAGATGGAGGGTTGTGAAAGTCGTTTAGCCAAGCCTACTGCATGCAGCACTAGTGACCAGAGCCCTGGTCCTGCAAAGCCAAGGAAGGAGGCCCTCCACACAGCAGGCCACACCTGTCTATGCCAACTGCCTGCTCCATTTTAAACAGTTCAAACATATCACCAGTAGGGTGACAAAATTGGGCACCCCCCTTTACCAACATGGTTGAGAGCACTAATGCAAGCACCACTTGCCCCGTTTTAATTCTTTTCACATTCTTTGTTTAGGAGACACGGGTCAAATCTATCCCCCCCTCTAGCACAATGCTGCAGTGGCAGAAAGCAAGCACCAAGGCTGACTTGCTGTGAGCCAGACAAAACCTCTTCCCTGAGGATGGTGATGCCAACAAATGAGACGTCAATGGGCAGGTTCCACTTTGCCTTCCACAAGTGAACCCACTCTGGGAGTCCAAACACGCCCGGCTCGGCAGCCTCACAGAAAGCCTCCTTTCTAGACGGGAGGTATCCCATTCATCCTCTGGTATGGAGAACCCAAAGGAAAGGCGGACACATGCAGGAGTGCGCTCCATACCCAAACCTCAGCACGCGCGAGAAGGTTTGGGGTGCCCTGGCGCGCCCTCCCTGTACCCAACCCTCCAAGGCCTCTACCACCCGCGTACTCACCACTGTGCGAGCTGAACCACCTGGGTGCGATGTGCAGAGGTAGAGCATCCGCCAGCGAGGCTCGGGAGCCCAGGTACAGCATCCCGTCTCTATGGTGACCGCCGCCCGTCTCCTGGTAACCATTGCCGTGGGCATAGGTGGAGTCGGACGCGGACCCTCCGCCGCCGGGCGCTCTCTCGGAGTCGCCGGTCCCCCGGGAGGCGGGGGTGTAGAGGCCAAAGGGCACCCCCCCGGCCGTGCTGGGGTCCATGCCCATACCCGCCACCGAGCTGACCGAGCGGCTGCGCAAGCCCATGGCCCCGCCGCCCGTCCGGTAGTGCCCAAAGTGGGGAGCCCCTCCTGGCGGGGGCACAGCGCTGTCATCGGTGGAGACCCCTGGGAAGGGGCCCCTGGAGCGGGCCGCCGTGCTCTGCTTGCCCCCCATGCTCGCCCGGGCCTCGGTGGGGCGGGAACCTAGAGGCCGAGACCCTCCCCCACTTCTCAGCAGCGGGGGGAGGGCTGGGCGAGCATAAAGGGGGAGGGAGTCAAAAAGGAGACCGGGAGGAAGAAAAGGAAAAAGCCAAAAAACCCAAAAAAGCAAAAAGCAGAAAAATCCCGGGGCGGAGAGGCAGGCGGGCGTGGACCCCAAACTAAGAATTTAAAACGATCCAAGCCAAACGCATGTTTTCCCTCAAGGTCCAAAGAGGCGCAGTCCGGCGCGGGCTCCGCGCGCCACAGGCCGCCCCCGGGCTCCGAAAGCCAGGGGAGCCGCAGGGAAGGAGGGAGGGAGGCGGCGGGCGGGCG